GAGCTCAGATCTACTGCCTTTATGGATCCGTATTGCATGAAAGCCCTAGATCTACTCTTTTAGTGCATTTGGAGTCCTAAAACCTTCATTGGTGTTTATTTACACGTAAAGTTGGAAACTTTACGTGTTAATCAGGCCCTAAGAACCTAGATCTATGTATTGCATGAGTTGGTTTCAAGCAAAATCGATTATATAGTATTTGCATGAGAAAGACTCGGCGAGTCGTTTATCGGACTCGGCGAGTCGAGTCGCGAGTCCCCGAGTTTTTCCCCTTTTCGTGTTTGCTGGGTGGAGTAGTGAGTCATGGGATGTGACTCAGTGGGTCGGAAGCCAGACTCACTGATGAAGGAACTCGGCGAGTCAATGCCCTGACTCGGCGAGTTCAAGACAATCTTCTTGCCTCAAGAACAGACTCGACGAGTTGTTCATACAACTCAGCGAGTCTCAGCATAGAATGTTCTTCGGATGAGATGAACTCGAGGAGTTGTTCATACAACTCGGCGAGTAGGATGAAGGACTATTGGACAACGGATTAGAAGGAAAACTCATCAAGTCAATGCCTAACTCGACGAGTAGAGACGAGATTATGGTCAATCGAATGGATAGGGACTCGACGAGTTGGCGAGCCAACTCGACGAGTCGGGTCAACTGGAAGTTGACTTTGACTTTGACTCTTGGTTTGGTTACGGGTAAATGGTCATTTTACCCTGAGGTTGGTTAGCAGTATTTGATTGAGTGTTTGATGGGAATTGCAGCCGGGGGATTTCCGGAGCAACAACAACAGACAGACCGTTCCCACACAGATCAACAGCTACTACGAGGTGAGTTACCTTCCAGTAGCGGTGGGTCTAAGGCCATAATGCCTACCCACCAGTAGGATTACGTATGATAGATGATTGTCTTTGTGATATCATCTAGGTTTGCTACTACCTGATATGTTATATGCTAGCATGATATATTTTATGTGATAGTAGTAGAGTTCGGTTGTTAGGACCGAAGGGTAGTCAGACACCCCAGATACGTCTGACAGTATGTGATGATATGTTTGCATGCTGGCTTGTTATGTTATATGCGATAGAGGTAGTAGGAGGGAACCAGTCCCCGAGTTCGGTTGATAGGACCGAAGGGTAGTTCAGGCACCCCAGATATGTCTGATAATATGTTATGTTATGGTATATGTGATTGTAGCAGTAGGGGTGAAATAGTCCCCGAGGATCGGTTGTTAGGGCTGATGGGTAGTCAGCACCCCAAAATGGCTTGACATGGGTAGTCAGCACCCCAGAACGGCTTGGCACGGGTAGGTCGGTACCCCAGAATGGCCGTACCGGGTAAGTCGGGCACCCTAGAATTGCCCGGTAGTATGTATGATATGTGATTGCATAGTATGTGGTATGATGGGGGAACTCACTAAGCTTCATGCTTACAGTTTTCAGTTTTGGTTTCAGGTACCTCTTCTTCGAAGGGGAAGGAGTTGGCGCGGTAGCGGCACATCACACACACGCTTTGTATTCCGCACTATAAGATCTTCCTGGGGATTTGTACTCTGACATTGTTATGTTTTTATAAACTGATTTCTAGACACACACATCTTTTATGAAATGATATGATCGGTGAATGTTTTATTTCTAATGTTTTGCTAAGTATGTGTTTTAAAATTGAATTTCTTGGCTCGTATTTTTGGGAAGTTACAATACATTTCTTCCTTCATAACACCAACTAAATCTACCATAAAACATAACAAAACAGAGTTTACCAATATAGCCCCATCTAGATATAACCACATATTATCTGCATTTATACATTTCCTTTTCTACTATTCTAAAACTTCTACTAAATTTAGTGGGAGGATTAACATTATTGTTTGAAATTCGAAATTATTAGAAACAATTAACACCAAACATATAATGAAAATCTTATTTCATAAACATAATCCCTTTTATAAAAAGAGCTTGATTGACAAGGGACATTTCTGCAATGTGAAAATGCTCTTCAACTGGTAGCAAATAAGATTTTTGCTGTTATAAAACAAAACTTTCTTGCTCCAGATAGCGTGCAATTTTGTTGGTAATCATTACTTTTTTTGCTTCTATAAGATTTGGCTCCATGACTGACCTTCCAATTTTCTGTTGGTTTAAGCATTCTCCCTTTATGACGGAAAACAAAATAACAGCAACAATATTAGACGAACAATCATAAATTTTTATGTCTACATAGGTCATAAGAATAGATAAGTAACATTCTTTTAGCATCAGGCGCGTATTTAGGAAACTAAACCATTACTTAAATTCTCACTCATTAACAATCGTTCCTAAAAGAATTTGAATACATATATGGTAGTAGAAATTGAAGTTACATAACAAAAATGCCAAAAACAAAACACATTTGACTTATTTCCCTGTTTATTAAACCAAACATTTCATCAAACACTTGGCATGCATCAAAACCACAGAAATACCAAATACTGAAATACACACTTACATGTTACGAAAAATATTTTACCCTTAACATTATTGGAAAACATTACCAGAAGATCCAATGCTATCTATGGGTGAATACAACTATAGTTGATCAGAACTACATCATCAGAAGATCCAATGCTATCTATGGGTGAATACAACTATAGTTGATCAGAACTACATCATCAGGTGCCTTCGAATTTGACTTTGAATCAATATATAAAAAGAAAAGTAACAAATCTTATCACAAACATTGAACACAAAACAAATATTACATTTAAATGATTTTAAATGAATGAAATTGGTATAAGCTTTTACCTTGAATAAGATATGGTTGAAGTTGCAATGCGTTTTGAAGAGAAAGATGATGAATGCCTATCAAATTGAATGGTTATGGGACAAAAGGACATCACTTGCGAGTTGCCAACATCTATAACAAAATTGTTGTTTTATCAGATCTTTTCTTCATTCCTCTGATGCCCTTAAATTTTTGCCGACGGCTTAGAAAGATAATAAACTACAAAGAATAAATAAGAGGACGTCGATAACTAAATAAAGTAGATGATTTGCTTCCTAGTTTCAAGCAATCCTCATGGAGGTGTTTGTAATTTAAATAGCAGAAAGAGAGAAGACGAATGGAAAGAACAAATATGGAGGGATGCAAATCAATCCATTTATCTAGTAGATTTACAAATATAGAGATACTCGGTGCGCAAATTACGACAATGAATTCTAGGAGCGTTTGAATTTTAATTTTGAGTTTTAAGCGGTTGAAGGGCAAAATAGGTACTTTACTTTGTAAATTAAGGAGCTTAAGAGCTACCATATAAGAAAATGGATTCTTTTATTATGTAGGGGATATACACACACACACAAACATACTAGTTGTGTACCCGCGCAAAGCGGCGGATGACCAGGGGGAGTAGTTTCTTTCGGAGATTAATGTCGTTTCTTGGTGGTGGTGCAACAGATCCTTATAACTTCAAGTTACATGAGGCTCATGTTAACTATGAGGGAGATTCGCTGCTAGGGCGGAGTAGATGGTTGTATCAGCAAAATGTTTGATTGATCGACATGTCACGGCATGTCATAGGTAGACTTGGCAGTATTGTTGTTGGCACTATAGTTATTTGCATTTTCCATATTCATAATAATAATTTATATTTACAATAAGATCCCCTTGTTCACAATAATTACAAGTGTTTTAGGGGATCCATATTCATAAAAAGGAATTCACACAAAAGAAAACCACCACTCATAAGAATTGTCTTTGAGATGATATATATATATATATATATATATATATATATATATATATATATATATATATATATATGTGGTGATTATTAAAATTTATCTATTCATGATAAAGATTAACCACTTGAGTAGTGGTCTATAGGTAAAACATTATGAGACATGTGGATGATATCTTATCTATTCAAGTTCTAATTTGGTTGTTGCTATTTACTTCTGTTGCCATGAAGGTCCGTTTGCGGTGACTGCAGAACATGAAGCATATCCTCATGTGTGCACTGTGGATTAGTCATTGTGTGAGCGTAAGCTAGTTCGGATACACTCATTAGCAGAGACCCTTTCCATAAAAGACAATGAAATAAGATATATGTTTGTTCATATAAGATTAATCCATTTGTTCAAGGTTGGGTGAAATCGTATTAAAATAATATATTTATTTCAATAATTTAATATGTTATAATTAAATATAACTAATATCACATTGATGGTTATATCACATTGATGGTAGGTAATCATAGATTATGAATTATGACAGTATTTTTCAAAATTTAAATTTTTTTATAAAACATAACATCTATTTTTATTAATGACAATTTTGAGATTATAAAAAGTTAACAATATAGTTGAAAGAAATAAATAGATAGGAAATGTCATATGCATATAATTTGTGATATAATAATGAGGTTTGTTAATTTAACTTTATAAAATCATTAGATTAGTTTGGTATATAATTATAAAAAAATAAATAAAGAATAGAAAATTAAATCAACTGTTTGCTAAAAAAAACATAATCAGTATCCATATTTTAACAAAATAGAAAAAAAAAAAAATTGCACTTACTGTGATTTTGAGATAATACTTGTTTGGACTTCTAGTAAAATAAACACTTGAAATGTTACGATGACTACTAACTAAATGAAGTCTATTGAACAATATGATCTTTATTTAAAACTTAATAAAAAAAATCTTAGCAAAAGATGTTTCACTTTTTCTTTTACCTATAATGTTTAAAACCCTATTTTCAATATCTATGACATTATAAAATTGAAAGGATGCTACTAAGTACTATAAGAAAGAGTAAAATGAATTTGGATTGGATAAAGTAGTCTTTTAATATATATGGAGGGACTAATGCTGTAATCTCTCCAAACCACACTGAGAAAACGTATATATTTTTTAACTTAGGGATCAAACCTATGAATTTGATAAGCACATGGACTTAAACGTTAATTTACTCTTATTTCACATATACATTGTCTAGTTGTAATATTTATACGACGTCGTTGCGAGAATACGTTCTGGTCGTTACTTGTACACCAACGGAAAGAAAGAACAAAAGAAGCAGAAAGCAAGTGATCCGAGTTTACAGAGAGCTCCAATCACTCTATAATTCCCAAAAATTCTAGGGTTCTTGTTTTCAATTTTCTCCAAACCAACAAAATGCGGATATCGACAAGCATAATAACGATCATGGTTGTGATATTAGGGTTAATTTCATCACCTATGGTGAAGGGAATGCGGTTCGACATCAAAACAGGAGCCACAAAATGCATAACGGAGGATATTCAATCGTATTCATTGTCTGTCGGAAAATACAGCGTTATCAATCCCAATGAAGATTATCCGTTGCCTGATAGCCATCGTATCACAATCAGGGTTAGATGTCGTATTATTCAATCCCACCCCACCGAATTTAATTGAATGTAATTTTGTTTGATGTCGTATTAATCAATCTATGCTTTCTTTCCTTTTGATAACTGATTTTTGAGTGTTTAGATGTGCATTTCTAAAGTGATTATTACGATTAGTAGTTAGATTATATCATAATTATCTTTAAATATTAATTTCTTTAGGCTTGAATCCAAATTATTAATGCTTGGGCTAAATGCAAAAAATCACAACATAGTTTCATACTTTCATCATTTACCAACTTATGCAACATACTTTCTTAACAAATTAAGTGTAACAAACTTATCAAATTTTACCATTTAATGTAAGTTGTACATATCATGGTAAACATGGTGATTTGTTATATTATATGGTTAAAAAAAATATTCTACATGAATTATTAAAATGGTGAACTTGTCACAATATAGATAACATCGCCACTTGGGGCGAATTGTCACTATGCGGATCAAAAAGCTTTTGGTGAATTTGCATATACAGCAAATGAGGATGGGGATTATATGGCATGTTTTTGGGTTGCTAAACAAAATCCACCTACAACATTAACTGTTGAATTTGAATGGAAATCTGGTTTATCTGCAAAAGATTGGTCTAGAGTTGCTAAAAGAGGACAAATTGAGGTGAGTTTTAGTTTTCCAATTTTCAAATTATTTTTTATGATCATATATAATTTTTAACATGCATCTTTTTTTTTTTTTTTTAAATAGATGATGGAACTTGACTTGAAGAAATTGTTTGATACTGTAAATCTCATCCATGATGAGATGTATTATCTGCGCCGGAGGTAAGAAACATTGTACTTTCAAAATTTTTTTTTTTTTTTTTTTCTTATTAGAATATTTTATTTTGTAAAATCTTTCCAATTTTAGAAGTTTTAGAAATAAATGAACGGAAGTGCATGCGTTACTAATTCTTGCATTAAATCTGTGGAATTTAGGGAGGAATCAATGCAAGTTCTAATTAGATCAACCAATTCGAAAATGGCGACTTTTAGCTTCTTTTCCCTCATTGTGTGCTTAGCTGTGGCTTCTATGCAACTATGGCATTTGAAGACATTTTTTGAGAAGAAGAAGCTTATTTAGACAATTAGACGCTATTTTCCATCTCATTTTTTTTTTTAATTATTCTCATAATATTCTTTTATTTTTTATTATTTAATGTCGCGTGTTAAGGTTACAAGCTATTTCCATGACACAATTGGAAAAATCCCGTATGTAACGCTTTAAAGTAACTATGGGAAATGACAAATTCTTTAGTTCTAATTGTTTTATGTCTTTGTAAAAAAACAAGAGTTTAGTTTTATAAACGAATAATTTTTATTACCAAAATATCTAACTAATTGGACGACTTTGCCCTTGTACTTTGAGTTATTTTACCATTTTGCCCTTGTGTTTTTGTTCATGTTTTATAAAGTGCTTCTGGAAGAGTTAAATTGTAATGAGGTTGACACCGGTCTTTTTTCCTATTTAATATGATTTTGCCGTTAAAAAAAACGAAATGAACTTTTTCACGTAAATAAGTTCAACTTTTTTCTCTAATTTGAAAATTTTCAGTTATAATTTATACTCTATTATCATCAACCTAATTCACAAAAATTATGAGCTACCAAGTTAAAAATAGCCGTTACAAATTTAACAAGGTTATAACTTTTCAATAAAACAAATTAAATAAATTAATGAAAAATTACCATATTGGTTTCATCCATAAATGACTTTCCTTATTACAACCAAAATTTAAAACAAATTAGCCGTTACAATCTTCCTAAGATTTTACTACAAAAATGTAAGATCAAAACCAAATCTCTCATTAGATTTCTTCAATTCATATCAAATGACTTCCACACGTTGTGCAGTTTGCAAGTATTTCAGACGAAGATGTCCTTCCGATTGTATTTTCTCACCTTATTTCCCTCCCAATAATCCTCAAAGATTCACGTGCGTTCATAGAATCTATGGTGCTAGCAACATTGGGAAGATGCTTGAGGTAATCGCAATCTTAAACATAATCTTTATCATATCTTAAATTCAATATCATTTCAGAAAAAAAATCATTAATTATTTTGTGGTTTTAATAATTAGGAATTACCCGTGGAAGATCGAGCAACTGCGATTGAGACATTGTATTATGAAGCTAAGTGTAGAATACAAGATCCAGTGTACGGGTGTGTAGGATTAATTCCATGGTTGCAACAAGAATTAAATATCGCACAAAGCCAATTAGCAAAAATTCGAGCTGAAATTGCTTTTCATTATGTTAATACTGCAACAGCTGAGCCCATACTGGACTCAGTTGAACAGTTGGTTCAACAATATGATGTTGATCACGGTCTAGATGAACATTCTTATTCTTGGTTTTGGTAGCTAGCACTTGTTTAAGTTTTAGGTTTCGAATTCAAATTAATAACAATGTTGTCTTTATGTGATTATTTGTTACAACTCAAAAATATTAATGTAAACAAAATTTCTAAATAAATCGATGCATGGTTTTACACAATGTGTAAAAACCAAAAGCTCTGTTTAACATTCGTGTATCAGGAGCACCAATGTTAGTTTCTTTTATTTGGTAAAACAACGGTTTTGAAGAAAACAAATTCTTATTCTTCGTAGCGTCCACGATGTTGAAACCGGTTCCTATCATCATCACCCTGCAAAAGTTTTGTGCATTTTTTAGAAAAATTGAAAACTATAGGGGGCGAAAATGAAAAATATGAAAGAAAAGGTAGATGGAACTCACATATCTATTGCCACGAGAACCATCGTCATCGTCATCATCACGCCTGCCGTACCTAGGTTTCCGATCATTATCGTCATCATCATTTCGTCTGCCATATGTGTTTCTCCGGTCATCATCATCGTCGTTACGTCGACCATACGATGGTCTCCTGTTATCATCTTCATCGTCATCGTTACGTCCATAAGTATTCCGTCCACCACCATACTCACCGCTATCAGTCCTCCTCCCTCCGCCATGCCCAGATCCATACCCATCTAAATCGTTCTTCCGCCGATTCCCGGAGCCATATTCCGAGCTTGGATTATCATACTCACTCCTTCCTCCATACCCCGATCCACTCTGCCGCCTGTGGCCGGACCCTTCGTCATCGTTCCTCCTCCCAATACCCGACCCACCACCGTATGAAGAATTGCCACCATGGGACTGGTAACTGGAGCCACCGGAACCGTAGCTGCCGGAGGAGGCTGACGACTGAGGGTAGCATATTTCATCGGAGGGAGGAAGAGGACGGCCGAAGGTGAGGGTAATGTCGTATCCGCCGCCGTATGGGGTTGGATCAAACTCGTCGAAATCGTCGACGTCTTCGTCTTCGTTGGGGTTATAGCGGTGTCCTTTCGCGTAATACGACATCGTTGGTTGGTTGCTTCCGGTGGAAACTAACGACGGGAGGAGGTAATATATATATGCTAGGCCTTAGGGAAGATGATACGTTGTCGTTTTTACGTCGAGCATGTCGGACCAGTCGATGGCTAACTAACTTACGATTTTTGTGGGTCCGCTTCTTTTACGAGGTTGAAATGTTCTCATTTCACCCCCTGTTTTATGCTTAAATACCAAATTGATCACCATTAAATTGTGAAATTGCAAATGCTACGAATCATTTTATATTTTTATCAAAATGGTTCATAGACTAGGATGTAATATTTTCAAAAGTGGCAGTTGGATGTGTAATTTGTGAATCACTATGTCATATTAAGCAATCATTATCCAATTTAGATGTAGTATAATACTATGAGGTTTAGCTTTATGGAAAATTATTAACTAAGAAAATATATTAACATCAAGATACATACTTTACTAATTACTCTTAGTTCATTTTGTTGTTGCTAGTATGGATATTGATTATTTTACCAAAGATGACTGATTTGTTTTGACTTAAAGTTGCAATAAATAGATAAATAGTTTTCAGAACATACATCCAAAAGACACTTATATTTTGTTACTCATATAACACGCCAAAAACACATTTTATATATAAATATATAAAGATAGTATAATCCATTTGATTAAAAGCAAATTATCAAATAATAAGTTTGAAATTTATAAAATTCCAATGAGGAAAAGGGGACATGTGTTTATGAAGCAAAGCATAAGTTTTGACCAAAATTTGTTTATGCCGATTGTTCTTAGGCTGACATAGATTTGGTTATAATGAGTGGGAATGTCCGTTCAGTTGTGGCAAGTAGATTAATTCTATATTTTGGACGTAATTTTTGTAATATTTTGTTACACGTGTCATTTTTATAATTTCGTTATTACACGGGGTCCATGAGTGTAAAATTTTCTTACAAATACATTGTTTTGTAATTTCAATATTATTACATTGGCCATTTCTAAAATTTAGATATTACACGAGCACTATTCTTGTAATGTTGGGATCATTTCTTTAATACAAAGCCCTCTTTTTTGGATATTTTATTTTGCTTGGAACATTACTACAAGACGCATACCCTAACCAACTTTCCACAATATCCAATAAAATCAACTTATAAACTTGTTTATTTCTATGGTGGATAGTCTTAACGAGACTTAGGCAATGGGTCAACACTTATGATCTTATTTATTCTTGAGCATTTTAGTATTTTAGGATTTAATAAATGAAAAAATAAATATCTTCCTAGCTTTTAATCTTAATTATATTCATACTCTTATTTTTAATTATCTTCAAACTCCAATAAAACAATGACATCTAGAATTTATTACTTTTCTCTTTTAATCATCTTTTTATTTTGATACTTGTCTTGATCTACTAAATAATTACATTAATATCAACAAAAGATAACATGATGTTTGATTTCTCTTAAAAAATATGGGAAAGAATGGGCTTATCTCTTTGACCGAGTTGTTTGGAGGATATCCAATATTTTGCTGATTGAGACGTTGCCTCGCCCAACATATTTAAATGGATCTTTTGGCTTTCATTTGTTTAATGTTTACCAGAAAAATAGAAACAACTTTAGCCCTTTTGCGTTCTTAGTTTTGTTGATTGTCTTTACCTATTAAGAGGGTGTTTGGGATAATTTTTAAAGTTTTTATCTTTTTTTAAAAGTTAAAAAGATGTTTGGTAATCTGATTTTTCTAACTTTTTCAATAGAGTAAATGATATCTTTTTAAAAAGTCATGGAATCTTGACTTTTCCAACTTTTACAAAAAGGATTTTCTGACTTTCAAAAACTCAACCAAACACCTACTAAATTGAAGACAATTTGCTTCTCTAGTCTCTACTTCTCTTTGTTTCTTGACTTAAACCCATACCCACACAAATCAGTTTTTCATTCACTAATTGCAGCTCCAAAAATAGAGTAGCATTGATCCATTAATTTGTTTGCCAACAAAACGCGTTGTCATGACATATAGCGAAAGTCACTCCTATTATAATAATAATAATAATAATAATAATAATAATAATGATGATGATGATGGTTGTGTTATAAGTATATCTTAATCAATTTTACTCCCCTAACATCAATCTAATTAATTTTTTATTTTTGTTTTGACATCATTTTTTTACTTTTTTTGTTTTTTCTTTTATTATTATTATTATTATTATTATTATTATTATTATTATTATAAATTTCGATAACCATATAAAATTCGGATAACATTTTAAAATTCGAAAAACATTTTAAAATTCGGACGACATTATAAAATCCGAACGACTATATAAAATGTAACAAAAGTAAAGTTGCTTTCAATCTGCATAACGCACCACACAAATGTAATACCGAACCAATTAATATATCCGTTATAAATAAAGATAACCTTTGTTTTTGTTCCGTTTTATATAGTCATTTGAATTTTATTATGTCGTCCAAATTTATAATATCGTCCGCATTTTAAAATTTAATCAAAATTTTAAAATATTGTTCGAATTTTATACGGTTATCGAAATTCACAACAACAACAACAATAACAATAATAATAATAATAAAGAATTAAAAAATAAAAAAAAAACAAAATAGGGGAAAAAAACAACAAAACACAAAAAATAATATACTTATAGCATTATAACATTAGCCTTATTATAATCAGGCCATGAATACATAGTAAATTACATGCATAAACACGATTTCATGTGGTGATCAGGTGAAGTCAGTGGCTCCCCATAAGGTGTTCCGGAGTTCTAATTTTGTCGTTTCAATAAGTATCCCCACTCCCCACCTCCTCAAATCGGGGAAGTCTTGGTGGGCACCCGGATAACATATTTTAGATACAAACCTACATGCATGCATGAAAACATTTTTTTTTTTTTTTAAAGTATTTTGTGACCCGTGTAGTAGAGGGATCCAATCCTCGACTTCTTGTATGGCAAAACAAGCAGCTGATTCACTTGGTAATAATCTAATGACTTCTCCCTTCTTCATGGGTCTGGGGAAAAGGGACCTTGTATTGTTTTCTTTTCAAAAAAGCCACAGGTTGTTTATAAAGATTAATTAAAGTTATTAAAATTTTAATAAACTGGCTAGATCTTCGCTCGTTGCAAATTGTGAGTTAGATAATTATATATATCAAACTTCTAAACGTTTGAAATTTGTCTTGTTTTTTTGACGCCAAATCGACCCCCTATGTGTCGGTGTTTAGGTTATTCTCGTGTTTATTCGGTAAGAGAAGAATAAACAAGGGAAAAAATAGAGCTTAACAAAAAGAGAACAAACAATCATATTTTTGATATGTCTAATGCATCGAAGTAAGAGCACTATTAATAAACTTTAAACAAAATACACCCCTTAAATGATTTAGATTGTATGTTAGTAAAAAAATTATTTGATACGTTAAATCACCTTTTTACTCCATGAGGTAGGGAAGGTAGGTTCCACTATGAATATTAATGGCAATTATGAGATCTCACTATTCTGGAGTTTGACATGAAAAGTATTTTGCATGTTTACATGTTTATTCACATGATTTTAGCATTAGTGTATGTTTCGTGTGATAACTTTTTACCGTAATATAATAGACTCATTAAGCTAAAGTGTATGCATTAGCGTGGAGACAAATTCGACAATGCGGCAAGATAAGAGCACATGAGATAATTCCTACTTTCTAGTTATCTTTTGTTTATGTATTGAAATGTTGCAACAAAATATCTTTAATGGCATTGCTTCTCAAATCAATAACTAGAGTATTATGTCAAATATTTATCAAATGCTTAAGCATTTGCCTCTACTTTGACATATTCTAAATTATATTAAGAACAATATCTAAGTCTTACTCTATGATTAAAGAGGTGGCACTTTTAACTAATTTATACAAAAAAGGTTAACGTCATAAAATTACAAAACCAATAATATACACTTTGCTTTTTAGGTCATTTATCTTTTAGTTGTAGGGAAAATGACTTAAAAGCCCAATGAAGTTTCCAAACCATTCGAAAAACCCCAATCATGTTTTATCTGTTCAAAAAAACGCAACAAACTTAATCTTTTGTCTAAAAAATCCAACAAAGTTTCAAACCGTTCAGAAAATTCCAATTTTGTTTTGTTTAAGTTCGTTGGGTTTTTTTTTTGAACAGTCAAAACATAATTGAAGTTTTTTAAACGTTTTGGAAACTTTGTTGGTCTAACAAGTCATTTTTTCGATACGGTAATAAGCCACGTCATCTGTTTCTCTTATTTGACTTTCGAGAAAGTGTAACTTAGTTGGACTTTTTAGATAAAATGTTAAGTTTGTTGGGTTTTTTTGAAAAGACAAAACATTATTGAGGTTTTTTAAACGGTTTGGAAACTTCGTTGGACTTTTAAGTCATTTTCCCTTTAGTTGTATTTGATAAATCATCAAAATTTTATTTTCATTTTTACTACACAAATGGAGTAGACTTTAACCAAGTATGTTGACATTGAGTCCTACTGCTTCATTTAATATGACAAAAAAAAAAAAAAAAAAAACTTCATTTAGAACAACATGGCGTTGAGATTTTGTCCATTATAACATCCAATATGTTAGAGATACCCAATTAAAACTTACTTTGATGCTGTAAAGATAACACATTAAAAAAATTCAGTGATATTAAGGTGCTGTTTGTTTTTCTGAAGTCAAAATGTCTGCAGTCTGCGGACCACATCTGCAAGCCTCTGCAGCAGAAGAGATGAACCAAACGTCTTCAGTCTGCAATAAGAAGACTGTTTGTTTTTTAACGTCTGCAGACTGCTGAAATAAACAGAACTTTAAATAAAATGATTTTTCAACACCAAAATTTTAATAATAATAATTATACAACACTGAAAATAAAATTTATGCAATTAAATTAGTTTTACAATAAAAAAGTTTGGTTTTACAATAACAATAACATTTAAAACAATTCAATATATATTGTACATCAACGACCATATTATTATTTTGAAACGAGACATTGGGTTCATCGTATC